GGGGGGGGCGTTTTCTCCTTCTGGTAGCGACAGTCTTAAAGGGACTGTCTAAAAAAATTGTCAGGTTGGGGGGAGAGGGGCGTGAGCATTTACGACGCCTAGTGAACTTATTTATACAGTCGGTTCTGATAAAGCTGCCAGTGGCCGTGTCGGTTGTAGCTACAACTGTGTCACCACAAACAAGGACGTGGCCCCCGACCCGTGGCTGAGGTCGCCTGGAGGGTAGGCAATCGGGACACAAACTATCCCTTTGGTTGTGGAGGGGGGGGGGGACGCATTGTGTTAGTTTAGATGCGTCCATCCCCTTTCGGCTTGTCAGGGATTCTGTGCAGAACATGTCCTTGCCTTCTGCTTACACCCTGAAGGTGTCGGATTTTCTACTACCCGAAAAAGAATGTTCTATAGTCGGGTCGGATTAAGCTGACTCTGGCTGCCGGCATTGTGGCCACATTTTTGTGTCCACAAATAGGGACGTCAATCGTGTAGCCACAACCAGGAACGTGATAGTGGTTGGAGGGTCTAATACCACTCCTATTTTTTTCTCGCGCGGTCACGTAGTTGTTCATCGTTGCAATATTGCCTCAATTAGTGGTTGCCGGTTTAAAAAGTAAAAAAAATCCGTCGAAGGTGGTGTATACAAGTCATATATCACTCGGCTCTGGGACTAGGGTTCGACTCACGGCGAAAGCGGGCCGTGGGAGTTCCCTTTCCTTGGCACCTTGCTGGGGTGGCGGGTGGCTAATTTTGAAACCTGCGTACCCGGGGAGTATGTATGTTCTGACCACTGTGGAAGGAAGCGGTTGTTCCCGACGACTGCGGTGGGGTTGGATGAGGAAAGTACTCCCCTATTTTTATTTATTTTTTGTCCGGGTGGGTGGTTGGGGGATGGGGAGTGGGACTCAGAAGCCACTTTTGTAGTTGCAGCAATGCAGATGCATGAAGGCACATAATCAATCAATAGCCAATAGGATGTAATTGATGTGTATTTTTGTAAATATAAATACAATCTAAACTATTGCATTTACATTGGAGACTGGAACTGAAATAGACTATACTATACACAAAGTGAAAGAATATGTGCGATAAACATGTATCAACAAATAAGAACATAGACTTGTACAATTGCTTGTAAGTTATACAAGAGAGAGATGAAAACTGTTAACACAACATCACAACTCATACAAATGCAATAAAATAAAGCTATAAAATAAAACAAGCCATAAATATATGGAGATTTCGTTCAACAATAAAAAAATGTAGAGAAACAAAAGGTGGAGCGAGAAGAGAAGAAGAGTAAATTTCAAGTGGCACTGGGAAGACTGCCGTTTATGTGACACGTTCTTAAAATGCTCACATTAAAATAATTCCATTTACACAAAGACAAATTTACACTCTTATTATTATGACAAGTCAAGACCATTGCAAACTGAAATGTACTAAATCTGTATTTTTACCATAAAACACTGACAACTATTTCAGAGTTGTTTTTTTTTTTTGTATATCTAACAAGAAGCCATGCACTGCAAATTTGTAAAGGCTAAAGTGCAGGAAACGGCACATATACAGATCTCATGAGTTCTTTGAAACTTATTTTTATAAAAACTGCCTCATACTTAAAAGATATCACTCCCCCATAATCTACTTTGTTATGAATTTCATTCAAATAGCACATTTCAAAGCTCACATAAATTAATCAAGACTACAGAGTAAAAAAAAAGGTCACTAGAATAGTGAAATATCAAGACAGTCTCATTACCTAAGTTCAGATATCATCCAATGTTTCTGTATATAATAACAAGTTCAAATGGTTCTTTAAGGAAATATCAAAGTACCTAACTAGTGCTCACAATATGAGAAATATGTAAAAAAAAGATGATATCAAATCTTAGAGAATGAAATAAAATCTTTGGTAAGGCGCATGAATGGAAAAACATTTTCAATCACACTCAATAAATATACACTTAAGTAATATTAACTACATAATCAATACTGGTAAGTGGTTTGTAATCTTATACTCTACACATCCTGTCCCCATGTGTTCCAAACCAACTATCATTTTATCAAAGAGAAAAGTTGGAAAATAGGTACTCATTTTTGATACATCATATTAGTGCAATAGATGGTCAAAACAATCATGACACTGTAATTTTCAGTGAAACTATAATACACAGCAATTTAATTCAATGCATATGTCACATATGAATGCCAGCAATTCATGGTATATCAACTATTGAATATTAATGGAAACTCAGATTGCGACAAAATTTGTTAAACAACCATAAAGGCACTAAAGTGCCAAGTAAATGCGCATTGATGAGGTACACGCATACTAGGAAACAAATTTTAACCACAAAAATGCTACTGGGGCGCTACTGGGGAACCGATGCAGTCTTCGTTAGAGAGTTTTAAAACCTATTAACAAAGAAGTGACTGGCAAGTATCAATTTTAGGAATCTTTGTGCAATTATAATATGCTTAACATTGGGAATTCAAACCACTCTTTCTAAACTGTAGACAGCCCTCTAAGTTCATAGAATGGCACAATTGTAATTTCTGATCTCTATTCTATAGACCAAAGTTTCAAATGAGAATGTACATGTAATGATGTATGGAGGTAGTAGAAAACTAGTAAGAACATGGTGGGGACCAACGTATGAGTATGTGGTGTGGTATAATGATAACAATGGTTTAACATGACGAACTTTTCAATTCACTCAACTCTGCAAGAAGACGCTGGGCTTGTGTGTGTCCATTGTGCTGGCCATTTACAGGTACATGTGTTGAATTGTTGGTTGAGTGCAGAGGACTACCAGTTTCACTGTTAGCAGAACTGCCACTTTGTTTGGCGTATCTATCCTTTAAAGTGGCAAGTGCTGACAAAAGACGGTTATTAGCAGCATCCAATGCTGCAATTTGATGTTCTTGAGCTTCTATTACACGTTGTTTATGTGACAGGGCATCTGACATCTTCTGTTGCTCACGTCGTAGTTCTTCTTCTACCGACATAAGTCTAAAAGACAGAATAAACAGATCATTGTTAGACAATACTTACACTGCATTTCAAGATTTGTCATAATTCAGTTAGTATAGTAAATAATCTGACCTAGCAATTATATTTTTCATGTTGTCCTCTGAAGTAGTCACATCAACATCTCTGTCCCGCCTCTCTAGGTTTCGATCTCTTCCCCTGTCTGGTTCTGGAGTGTTGTTGCCAGATGACAGTTGGTGCTCAGCTTGCTCTAGTTTAAGTTTTAGAAGTTCCACACTTGATTGTAGTCTTTCTATCTCTCTTTCATACTGTGTGGGCAACAAGTGCAAAATAACATAAGATTTCATGAAAAATAAATTGAAGCTGATACATAATTTGGGAAAATAAACTTTGCCTGACATACTTGGTCTATATTCCGATGGTTTCTTAGTTTACTATTGGTTCTTCTGCTAATACTCTCATCATCAGAGGAATCAGAGAGGTCTCTAGTGGATTCTGATGACAAACGTCGACGCAGTTTGGGGCAGACATCATCTAAAAATAATAGAAAGTAATTATGTATTTGAAAGCTTCACAATTTTTTAAAAGAGGCTGATTACACTCAAGCAGGAGAAGAAAAGTATCAGAAAAGTACCTGACGCGTATTGCCTGGTTTGAGACTGTGGAGAGAGTTGCTGTTGACTGGTTGCAACTGCCCGCCAGTTGGTGCGAGTTGGACACTGCGGATTGGTACGGGGGGCACGCAACCCTGGAGGAAACCTCCGGGAGAGTGGAGGCGTAGGAGTCGATGGAGTGGATGGAGACAAGTCAATTCCGTTGTTTCCTAATCCGTTACTTCCACTACTAGCAGCACTTCCGTTCCGATTGTCATTTATATTTTCTTCAGAAGATGTGCTGCATGATCGTTGCCTTCTCTTGTGATGGCGGGAGGCAGAACTAAGAGAATTGTGAATTCCATTGACAGTTGTGGGAAGTCCGTTTACCTGCTGGAAAAAATGAAAATTTTTGATTACACAAATTTATTAGTCAAAAGAGAGCGCATTTAACAGAATTTTGTATTGTTACCATTGCATGATTGTGCTGGAGGTGGTAAACTGGGTTGTTAAATGCCAGAGCAGCATTTGTACTGTTCCCATTAATGTTGTTGCTACCAGAATTATTAAGATTATTGTTTGGAGATGAGGAAGAGTTGTTGGCATTATTATTAGCTACAGAAAGGTCGACAGGGCTGGAGCTTTGACTGCAGTAAGCAAAACTTTGATATCCAGATGAAGCAACATTTGATAGCTGTGAGATGGAAACTTGACTTCCTTTGTGATTGTTGGCATTAGCATCAGATTCTGCATCTGCATAGGTGAGCAGTTCTGAAAGTTCATCTAAATTGCTATTGCCGTTTATATTTACATTCAGGTTGTGTGAAACTGAACTTGCAAGACGGGCTCCTAAAAGGAAAGTAGGTGGTTAATAAATGGCATAACACCCACGTCTAGTAATATGTCTAAGAATAATGTTAAAATGAAGTAATTTTTCCAATGTATACCTCGCTGATTTTGCAAGCACTGAGTGCCACACTGGTGTAGTCTTGTAGGACTCCTCCGATTGAATGCAGTGCTACTCTCTTCGCTAGGGCTGAAAGCATTTCTTGGCAATGTAGAGGCCCTTGTCATGGCTGGGGAACGAGAGGCAACGGTCACGCTGAGGTGATTGTTGGCATTATTAGCGTTACCATTCTGATGAGAGTGGCTAGGCAATGGACTTCCTCCATTTACAGTTCCATTAACAGTTGGGTCATTAAACCTGCACAAATTATAGAAAAGGTTATTTACAGAGTGACAGTTAATAATTTTTGTCTAAAAGAGGACTGTAAAAGAACAGACCTGAAAATATTCCTTTGCAATGATTGATAAGATGATGGTGTGTTGTGAATTGGTTCATGCTGTCTTATAAGACCAGCAGGCTGTGAAAGAGCTAATCCAACTCTATCCAAAATCCTATTAAGTCTGTCCAATTCAGCTAAGCGACCTGGAGCGACTTTGCTAACACACTCTGATAGCAGAGAATGAAGAATGCTCATTTGTTTTCCAAGATCTATGTAGCCGTCAAACTCTTGCAGATGCAGATGAGGTTGATACTCCTTTGGAACAGGACTCTGGAAGTGTCGTGATACACATTTCAAATATTAGAGTGATCAAATTTTACAAAGGCATTTCCAACGGGGACCAAAAAACAACTTACAGATATGAGCTTCAGAAAGTCATTCATTGCTTGCGCCTCTCTCTCAAGAAAATCATTCATAAATTCCATAAAGTTTTCCTTGCCTTGGAACCTTGTGAAGTTAGCAAGGGTTTGAAGAGTTTTTGCAACAAGAGTCAAGTTTCTTGCCCCCTTTTCATTAGGGTACTCTGTAAAAATACAAATATTATTAAGATTTCCAAAATTCATTGGAATGTAATTAACTTCTTCTGAAAGACACCATCCCTTTTTTCTCTCAAAAAAAGAGATAAAAATATTGAATTATTATTACCATGGGTTATGTTAAATAAGCTTGGGGACAAGATCGCTGGGCACAAAAATCTCAAAAATAGTGAAGCAGAGATCAAATGCTGGCCTACATCTTCTCGCCCCATTCCAGCTAGTCTCTGACGGAACATGTGGAAACACTCACGGAGTTCCCTGAAAATAATGAGATGACATTACTTTTGTTCCATTTTTTAAAATGGAAATGTTTCTGATTTCACACAGAAGAAGTTGATGTAACTTACAAAGGAAATATTGCATGGCTCTCCAATATTTTTGACCAGGCCATTTCTACAGCTGTTCTTAAATTTTGTTGTTGTCTCTGAAGAGCAGACACAGAAGCCACTTTCAATGGATCAACTTCACAGTCATGGCCAGCAGTCAGAACAGTAGTAACAAGTTCATTAAGTGTTTCTTGCAAATATCGGTCACCAGTTAGTTTTAAGTAAGCCTCCATAGACTTTGTAGCCAGAGAATTTCCTCGAAAAGTTAGGCGAGAATCATCTAAGAAAAAAGAGAAGTATTTTTACGTATTTTAATTTTAAGTTAAACAAGGTGGTAATGAATCATTTTCTTTAGTTTTGGGTTTTCAGAAAACTTACCAACTCTATCAATATCCATCATGACAATGTCAGCCAGAAATTGTTTGGCTAGTCCTTCCCTTTGCATGACATGGACCAATGCAGTGGCTATGTCCTCCTTCGCTTTGACACCTATCACTGGTTCCAGGACCTCACAAAGGGGTTTGTAGTCCGACTTTAAGTACTGTGGCAGGGGTACAAATAAATTAACTTGAGATTTAAACATGTGAAAAGTGAGTAAAACCACAGTCTTCTGGATGAACAGATGCCTACCTGAATAAATTCTTGATAAACTTGAATTGGGAGAATTTCAACAGTTTGGAAACGGCATTTAACTCTCAATGCCGGAGGGTCTTTTGTAACAACTTTTTCAGAAATAACTGGATACCATTTTTCTGTTAGGTACCGCGATGTAACTTCATGCACTGGTATGCTGACACTCCCTGAAATCAAAGACAAATTAAGCAAACGATTCTTATTGACATGATAGGCCATATTTGTTTTGATTAACTTACCAACAAGAACATTCTTGTCACGTTTCTTTTTCCGATCAGCTTCACGGTAGAGGTTGATGTTGATCACATTCACAGAGGGAAGGTTGTGGAAATCGAAGTGTTCACCCCAAAAGCACATGTCTCCTTTCTGTTTCGATGAGGTTCGGGCATATAGAGTCTTGTCGAGACAAAGCTCTGCAAAGTACCTGCAGAATAGAAAAAACAAACATACATTAAAACAAAAAATGTAAGTTTTCACGGACAAAAAAAGTGATGATGGAAATTTCAGTTCACTTTGAAACAGATAATTTTAAAAACACAACATGGCGTGGGTCTTTCGCGCCGCTAGTTTGAATCGATGGGTAAAAGTGAGCAAAGTGCTATGGATTCTAAGTATGTGGTAGGAAGGGAGGGTACGACATTGACACCCTGTCCAGTCCAGTCCACTATTTTAGGATGCCTCACCTCTTTTTGTTGGCCACTCCCTTGGCCTCCAGCACCCAGATCTTGAGGGAGTTGTCGGTGCGCCGCATGTGCTCCTGGTCGGGCTGCACGGACCGCCGCAGGCTGTACACCCACTTGTCGCGCTCGTCGGCCGAGCGGCACGAGAAGTAGCGCGGCGTGCCCGCGGCCAGCGTCACCTGGAAGCAGTGCTCGCGCCCGAGCACGGACGGGTGCAGCGGCTTGATCTCCACGCCGCCGCAGGTCCCCGCCGACAGGTCCAGGGTCTGCATGATGCTCTGGCTGGACAGCAGCGACTCGTGCGAGCGGGACGTGCGCAGCCGCGGAGGGCCCCCGACTCTGCAACACACGGGACCAGCCGGTCAGCACGGCACTCTCGTCGGGGGAAAGACACACGAGCAAACAGACGACTCACCCGTCCGCATCAAGCACGCGCTTCCTCTCCAGCTTGGTGACGCTCTTGGTGCGCTTGAGCGGGTTGGCGCGGAAAGACCTCTTGGAGAAGAAGTTCTGCAACAGCAAAGGAAGACCGTCTTCGATAACGTCGACCCGATCGACAACCGTTTCAGTTTGCTTGAGCTGCTAGATCCAACGACTCACCACTATCCTGGAGGGCGTGAGTTCCAGGCCCCGCCCGCCGAGCACTGGAGTAGCAGGAGCGCTGCCGCGGCGGCACGCCTTCTCGTAGGAGGTGTCTGCAACAAACAGAAAAGTCACCATCAGTCAACGGCAACGCCAAGGGACAGTTTCACCATTGATTTCACAAAATGCCGATACCGAGGACGCCCGCTCTGGCGCGAGGACGCGGCGCAAGGCGACACGAAGTGAAAGGATCAGAGAGCCGAGCCTCGCGACACAGCGTGCCTCGTGTCCAGCCAGGGATGGCCGAAGGGGGAAGAGGAAGCCACAACACTTAACACTATACTTTAAACTTTGTGTTCACCTTGCTTTGCTTAAAGTTAGGGATACTTATAATGCCAACTTTTGGCTATTTTGATCAGCAAAATTTTGATTTTGTCTGCATTCAAAAGAAATCGAACTTTCAAGGCCAAAATGTTGGCTTTCTTTGGATGAAGACCAAATCTATAGCATCTCCTTTCCAAATCTATTCTTGATTGAGATTTTTCCACGCTGTATCCAGTTGTAAGACAAGCACGGCCTAGCACAGCCTAGGGAGCCAGCTCCACTCAACTCAGACCAACCAGTCCCGGCTGGCTAGACTGGATCGGACTCAGCCCGCCCCGTACCGCTCGTCCCAGTCGTTCACTGGGAAACGAGGTCGCGGTAAGGTTCGGCTAGACCGCTCGGCTAGACCGCTCGGCTAGACCGCTAGACCTGCAGGCGAGCCTACGGGTCTGGAGGTGGGCGCTGTCCTCCCGCCCGCCGACCCGCGCCCACAGCCCTGCCATTGTAACATTGATAAACCAAGTATTTCAACCGATAAACTCTTGGAAGTAAGCAACTGTAACTGTAAGTCACACGTGCACAACTACTGAGCCACCTTTGTTTATCAATGAAATACTGACCCGTATCAGATGCGTCCACTCTAAATGTAAACAGGTAATTTTGTTCCTAATTAAAGGAACGTTTTCGTGCACATCTAGAGCACATACAACTAAGTACCAAAAACTAAATTGTGTATGCTTTTAGACAATTTGCCCGGTTTTAGGAACAAAAGAAGTTTTTTGCTTCCGCTCTGTATGTGCACAAAAACGTTAAACGCTCCCTTTTTAGGAACAAAATTGTCCCTTTACACTTAGACTGTGAATACAATAATACTGATTCTCTTATGCAGAGGCAGCATGAAAAGAGGGTTGAGAGAGGGTTAAAAAGGAGCTTTGGCAGTTTTGGCGTCGCGCTTGTGCCCTCTACGGATTGAATGGAAAAGGAAAAGAAAGCCAAACGTCTGCGCACGCACCGGGGGCGGGGCGGGACGTTGCGCGTGACACCTTGGCGGGCCTGCCGGCCTCCACCCCGCGTGACGCGAATAACAAGTGCGACGCGACGGACGTGTCACTCCGTTTGCTTCCGTTTAAACAGTTGAAAGCTTTACTTCGCCGAATACGATCACAAGGCTCCCCGTCGTCAACACCAACTCCTGGTTGTGGGTATCAAACTCTCGATTCCCAACTATGGAATTTAGCCTATTAGAGTCGATCCCTGACAAAGTCTGTTCTTTCCGTGCGGAGCCGAGACGCCATTTCCACCTCCGCGAACTGGACAGCCGGAGAGTGACTTTGTGCGGGCGAGTCATGCCCAGGCCGCCTCTCAAGGGCTCCCTCAGCTCGGATAAGCCTATAAGGGCCTAAGTGCTGCCAGCTCGCCCGGCCCGCTCCACTTCCCCTCCGCCACGATGCACTTTTGTCGCTCGTCCCCGCTCACGCCCCTCTGTTCGTCCCGTTATTCACGGTTTCGCCACTGAACGACGAAGACGTCACGCCCGCTTTTCCTTCTCTATCCCTATCTGTTACACAGGCCGGCGTACGACCTCTATTTCGCAAGTGATTTCCCCTCCGTCCGTATCACATTGACGGAAATAGGAGCACTTGCATACACGAGTCGTTGTCCAGAAGCAGAAGCGGACGGAGCGAGCGGACGGTCGGGTGGGCTGAGTGCGACTTCAGAAAGATTACCTCGGGTGAGAGACCGTAAGGAGGGGACGCGTGCTGAAATACGATCAAGGTGAACCGTCCAGTGAGGCGTTGCCGGGGTGAGAGGGGGGGGGGGATAAGACGGTGTCGAGAGAGGGTGGAACGAAGACAGAAGCAGAATGCTCGTCTCTTAAAAAAGAGGGTGGATGAGAGTCGCCGAGAGACGGAGAAGTGGGAAGTGGGGGTAGTGGGAAAAAGAGGGGCAGGGAGGGGGGCCTGCGGGGCCATTCGATTCACCTTGACCACATCGTCAAGGCAGCACGCAACTGAAATACTACAAAGCAGAGTCTAAAAGCGCACAAAACCTAACTTGGCATCACTGTGAAAAACAGTCTTATAGGTTTACGGGAAAATTTTCCTTGATCGTGTGTCGTAATTTTACAATTTGAAACTTATTTGTTTCAGAACTTTTGTATTGACGAAGAATTGATCGACAATAAGCAATGCCGTTGCCGCAAATTCACAACATATTTTGTAAATAAACATTACAACAAGTGATGTGCATTTACGAGGGCATTTTCACGGTGACCGTTTGTGGTTTTAATTTGAAAACTTCACGAAGTAGAAAGCTATACGATCATGTATCTCATGCTAGTAAAATACGGGCAGTTTTAGGACTAACAAGTCCTAGTCGAGACCACTGTAGTAGTTGAGTTCCGTGATACAGGCGGCTTGGCGTGGCGGGGGGGGCTATCTGTCTACATCCACCTCACGTTTCCCATTAAATTTGAGGCCAAGGCGGCGGTTGGTGGCGCAGCATCGTCAACGGGCCAAGTTAAAGGAACACCCCATCCCCGGCCCCAAGTTCGCCCCGTTTGCCCGTAGAGTTATTGTTGTCCAGTCTGATTTGGTAGAGTACGTACTTCTTTATACAGTTTGTGGCTTAACTGCACGATTAGACAGGGCGCGGATGGAAAAAGACTAATAACATGGTGGTCAGGTCAGGAAGACTGCTCTACTGACTGCTGTGCTGTTGCTGCTATTGTAGCGTAGCCCACCGGGCGTGCAGAACGAAAAAGTATGAGCGAGCGGGAAAGAGGGGGGGGGGGGGGGGGGGGGGGGGAGGGGAAGGGGAGGAGAGGGGGCCTCCACCGCCCATTCTTCGTGCTTGAATACAGGCCACAGCCTACAGAACGTGCGGCGCGGTTTGTACGTGCACATTTTATTTTTTACATCCAACATTATTCATTTTTTTCCCGGAGAGTGCTGTTCGGGGCGCAGCAGCAGCAGCCGTCCCGTTACCGCTCATGCCCGGCCAGGCCAGAGTGCGCCATGCAGCAGCATCCACCCCGCCCCGCCCCACACCGCACGGCACGAAGCAAAAACAAAAGTAATCAAAATTGTCACTGGCACCCGTTATACGATGGAGAGCTTTATGATGTCGGGGGAAAACTGTGTGCAAGTTTTGCGGGGAGCGAATGAAATGTTTATGTTAAAGGACCCAGTGTTGTAAGAATAGAACAAGGGGAAGGAAGAGGGGGAAAGAGCATGGGGGAGCGAGGAGAGAAGCAGGGAGGCCGCGAGATAGATATCGGCATAAATCCAACTTCGGTCCCTCCGGCCCTAGCTCTGCAGGCTAAGGCAAAGGCGTAGGAAGCGGGGGGCGTAGGGCGGCCTTCGCATTTACCCTCACTACCACCCACCCCAACCAGAGGTCTAATGCATCGGCAGACCCGAGTGTCCCGCGAGTATACTAGAGGAAGACTTGTAACAAACGTGCAGCGATAAGTAGCAATAAAACAAACAAAAAACACTGTAGAAGCGGGAACGTGGCGACGGGAAGCTCATCAAAGCGGCTGCACCCGCGGCCCCAGCGCTATCGAACACGATTCACTGATCGTGAATGTGAAAGCGACTTGGCCAGCCCAGGGACACTTTGCACTGCCGAGCGAGCGGCGCACTCGGTGGACTCTCTACCCCCGACTGAAGGCACACTCACAAAACCCGGTGACATTTCGTCCTCGGTCTCCATACCGTCGCGGACTTTAGGAGCAGCATCATTGTTGGCAGAGGTAGGCTAATGCACGCAGCACGGAGGCACACAGGATGCGACGCTTCCTACTTAGCAACCTGAGCCCGCCTCACATCAGTCCGCTTAGCGCTCCATACAACCCGGACACAGCGCAAGGGAGCGAGGGAGAGCGCCTGTGGGGTAGGCAGCCGGGGCGCACCGGTGCACGGCGGGCCTGCCTGATGGCGGGAGAGCGCCTGTGGGGTAGGCAGCCGAGGCGCACCGGTGCACGGCGGGCCTGTCTTCCGCACGGTGCCCCGCAGGCAATCTCTGGGCCGAGCTCGCTGCGCGCAGTGATGTTTCGAATGTCCTCGCGACATTCCACAGCACCGCACCCGACGCGCCTCAAACAAACTCAGCAAACAATCTCTCCCTCCCCTCCCCTCCCTCTCTCACACACACACATACACACACTGACGTTGGTACAATAAAGGATGACAATCCTCTCCCTGCATTGTTGTCTTGGCAGCTCGGCAGCGCGCATAGTTGCTCTTGCGAAGGTGCTCTCCGCGGAGATTGGCGGGCTGGGCTGGGCCGGCTCGGCAATGACGAGGCAGGCACCCGCGCCAGACGAGTCAGGCATATGCGGCATCACTGATGGGCTCGCCCACGGTCTCGCGGATGAGGAGCGCGTTCGGCCATCGCCATTGTGCCTTTTCGGGGAACGCAGTGTACGCACGGCGGGGACACAACGGGCTGGGTTATCGACGTGCGATTGCAAAGGGTAGACCAGCAAAGTCAAGAAGACGATATGCGACCAGCAGGCTGAAGCCAGCAGCATGCCGCAGTCGGTGCTGCCCTTCGGAGAGGCGGGCGCCCGTCCTTGCCATGCCGTTTGAGCCTCACTGAGCCAGCCACCGCGGCTCCGGATCACACAGTACGACTTGCTTAGAAACGCCCCCAGCCCCCAAAACAACGCTCAGTCCCGCAAACTTCGCGAAACGACTTAACGAGATACACGTGAGTTAATCGCTTGGCCCCTGCCGCACGTTAGGAGAAGACAAACATGATGGCAGGACGGAAAGAAAATGAGAAACCGGAAGAGACCGTTTGAACGATATAGCAATAAAACGCCTATCTTCTTGGGAGGTCCTGGGTGGGCTCAGCAGCAGCTCCCGTGGCGAGCGGGCGCGACTCGGCGGCAGCCCCCAACCACGCGGCTTATCCCCCCGGTCGGCCCTTTCGGGGCCTAACGGCTGATCCGCGCGGCATGGCCAATGCTTTGAGGCGAGAAGAGCCCCGCCCGGCCCGGCTCGGCACAATACCGGAGACCCCACCGCCACCCCCACCCAGGCCCGTGACCTGGACTACCGCCGCCACTGCCACGGCTTGTGAATGGATTGATGTTTCCGGGAGTCAACCGAGGGAAAAGAGGAAAAGAATACAAAGAACGGGGTCCGATAGGAAACGCGCCGCTTTGCAGGTGAATTACCTCGCAGCCCCAT